GTGTGTGTGTGTGTGTGTGTGTGTGTGTGTGTGTGTGTGTGTGTGTGTGTGGGAGGATGGGCACAACCTCTTGGCTGATATTTGAGTTGGTCTCATATAGAGAGGTCAGTGTGGGACAGTACCTGAGGTTTGACCCGTGTTGATGATGTAACGCTGTATCGATGCAGCCAGGATCACGACGGCGCCTCTCGGGCCACGGAGGGATAATTTTAGAACACATATGGCCGCGCAGCGAAAACGGCGTGCGTGTTTGTGCGGCAGAAGAACCTGCGTGAAGGCAGGACACCGGACCATCCCTCTGTGCGTGGGAACGAGCAGATGGAGGAAMTCAGGCTCACACGAGCAGCTCCACCTACACACAGACTCGGGGGKGAGGAGGGTGGGCTCAGACCTGCAAGCGTGACCGCCTAATCAGGAGGAGGCCGGGGGAAGACAGACTCATGGCTGCCTCCGGATCCAACACAAAGCATGGGAACGCTGTGTGTGTGTGTGTGTGTGTGTGTGTGTGTGTGTGCAGAAAAGCCACAGGGCAAGGACTCGGTGGAAAACTGTCCTGGTAGCATCTTTCTCACCTCATCATCGTCATCATCACACAGAGGAACATTTATCTGCATTAAGAAGTGCTTCRTGTATGTTTTGGTAACTGGATTTTATTTGCAGAAACCAGCACTGAAATAAAAAAAGAGTAATACTAAGTAATACTAGTAATTTTAAATTTTAAAGGTTCACTTGAAAATTGAGAATAAAATAAAATAAAAATAATTAATCATTGTTTTTGGACCAAAAATCAAAGTTTATTTCCCAACAAAAACCTAGTTTTCTAAACCTGCATAAACAGGAAATAACTACAGTCTTCCTCAGTGCAACAAGTAAACACCCCCGGGTGCAACGTTTGTTTGTCACATTTTGTGATACACACTCTTTAATCACTATAGAGACGCGTCAAAGAATAAAAACAGCTTCCTGTTATCGTAACGTTGGGACTTTTAGACGTTATAATCCCTTCGAACAATCTCTTAATCCCTTTAAAATGAATCGGCTGTTGTCAAGACAACGCAGCGCAGCGTCCCCCCCCTCCACTGAGTTGTTGCCCCTCCGCTCATTTCATTAAAGAGCATTATTGATGGATTTCCTGTCAGTTTTCCATCTTTCCAATGGAGCCAGGTTGTATTTGAGCATTAAATAATAAGTCCTTCATTCTTATGCAACCGTGTGCTCGGACGTGTGAAAGTGCCCTCACAACACACACACACGCACGCACGCATGCACGCACGCACGCTCTACGACCACTCTTCAATCACTCCGCCTTTTCCCCCGTCTTTTAACGGGTCCCGACAGAACCGCTGTATGGATGTGGTGCTGCTCGCAGCGCGCTGACTCAGCAGGAAATTACCATTCAGCGCAGACAGCTTCATGCCTCTGCCGCTGCTGTTCTTTGATATAATACAACGCCTCGACCGCACAACCCTGCGGGAAGACGGCGGTGGAGGTGGGAGGACCGGAGAGCGGCATCAAATCCAACACCAGCGGCTCGGCGGCAGCCGCAGCTCCTGTCACTACACAGCCTGCAGGGCTGTAATAAAGAAAATCAGCCCAAAGTGCAGAGAAGTGAACTTCCACGCAGGAGATTCCTGCTTCTGAGGTGGAAGACTGAGGAGGGAAAAAAGTCTGTCTTGAGTAATAAATTCTAATAAATGAAGCCTTGGAGGAGAGAGCAGCGGTAAGCAGCAGCCCTGCAGCCGTAATATTCCAGGCTGCCGATGCACTCCTGGCAGGTGATTTGCGAKTTTAATCAAGGTGCTATTGCTGCATAATGGAAAATAAAACCCTTTCCATGCAACTTGCAACACTAATGGCTTTTCACATCAGTTACAGTCGATTCAGGAGAATTCAGCTGAAACGTGTGATCTCTGCCACCTTCAGTGTTTAAAACAGCAGCGAGCTCGGAAATCATATCAGAAGTAAACGGACAAACAGCTGCCGGTGTCTGAGATGGCAACAAATTACTATTTCCAATAAATAACTGAGAAACTTCTTCTGAGAGAAACGGTTTCTTCTTTCTAACAAAAATAACTTTTAGTAAAATGAGTTCAGCAGAGCTGAAATGGGAATAAGGTGCTAGCTGCTTTATGAAAACTGTTTTTCTCAGAAGCTTGTAGTTTTTTTCACTTTTGCAGTGTCTTTGTGAGACAGTTCATCCAGTAAAGTTGTGTTTTCACAGCCTATTTTAGGGCTTCCATCCCTCAGCAGCATTGTGCTGTTGTTGATAAAAAAAACATTTTATTGGTGCCTTTTCTTTTATCTCAGGTTGGGAYAGATGCTTTAATGAAGTCATAGTGCGCTGTTTAATGTACGTAGTTGATGCATACCAAAGATATGGTGGTGGTGGTGGTGTGTGTGTGTGTGTGTGTACCTGCAGAACTATGGGGAGCTGCTCAGGAGGGTTTCTGTTCTCCACACCCATTGTCAACCACACCTGAAACGCTGTCAGCTGCTCAGCGAAGAACGGACTGTGCTGTGGACACACACAGATGGTAAGGCTTTTATTTGTTTTTAACGCTCAGTCTCTCTGTCACACACACACACACACACACACACACACACACACACACACACACACACACACACAC